ATAAAGTAACAAAATTTATATAATATGATATATACATACATGTACACAATGGAATCTTTCTTTAACTGATTATTTTTACAGGTTTGTATATGAAACAGAGCATTTCAATGGAGTTGGTGAACTCCTTGAAATTTTGGGTAGCATTATAAATGGATTTGCTCTTCCTTTAAAAGCTGAGCACAAGCAGTTCTTACTTAAGGTAAAAAATAAAAATAAATTAAGGAGCAATGATAATGTGTTAAAAATAAATTGTACAATGTTATTTATCTTTGCTGTTTTATTACAGGTGCTGCTACCATTACATAAAGTGAAGTGCTTATCATTATATCATGCACAGTTAGCTTATTGTGTGGTACAATTTCTTGAAAAGGATGCAACCCTAACAGAGCCTGTTATGCGAGGCCTCCTTAAATTCTGGCCTAAAACGTGCAGCCAGAAGGAGGTAATGTTCCTTGGTGAAGTTGAAGAAATTTTGGACGTGGTAGAACCTTGCCAATTTATTAAAATACAAGAACCTTTGTTCAGGCAAATTGCACGTTGTGTATCTTCACCACACTTCCAGGTACTTTAATGATTGATGAAATCATTTTTCAAAGTATAAAAAAAATTAATGTTATTTGTTGAATGACAAAACACGTTATTCATAGGTTGCCGAAAGAGCATTGTTCTATTGGAATAACGAATATGTAATGACTCTGATAGAAGAAAACAATCATGTAATAATGGGAATTATGTTCCCGGCATTGTATAAAATTAGCAAGGAACACTGGAATCAGACGATCGTAGCCCTTGTTTATAACGTTTTAAAAACATTTATGGAAATGAATAGCAAGCTCTTCGATGAACTTACTGCCAGCTATAAGTCTGAAAGGCAAAAGTAAGTAATATTTTAACCAAACAAGATAACGAAATAACTTTAAACTGAGTCTTACTTCTTTTCGAAAAACAAGATAAAACTTGTCAGTAGCTTTTACATTATTTATAGAAATATTTTGTTATGTTAGAGAAAAGAAGAGAGAAAAAGAAAGGGACGAATTATGGAGGAAACTAACTGAATTGGAGGTAGAACGACGTAATGCGCTTACAACTACCTTCAACAATCCAGTTCCTCCCACAACAACACCTACGACACGAGCCCGCCCTTGAGCTGGTAAGTAATGATATCCATTGCATAATTTTATATTTTGGGTATACAAATCCGCAATGTGTTCAATCAATATTGTTATTACAGGTGGAAATACACTCCCAAGCTGCCCAATTATTAGTCCTTAGTTTACGTCGACTGTCCATACACTACATGCAAAAATTACTGTTGTTAGTGGAGCAAAGTGTCCCACAATGGCATTCTTGACGTAATGTAATTTCTTTCATTAGTTACTAGCCTAAAGGGCGAAGTGGAGAAGAAAAAAATGAAAGAATCAATAATCACAATTTTATTCTTCTTTGACACAATGATGATTGATGAGTTCTAATATTTTTATTGTGTACATTAATTTCTACTTTTCTTTTTTCCTTTTCTTTGATAGCAATGATTTAAGTTGTACAATGTACTCAGTGTCAGCACATAATATGAGTATGTTAGTCCCTTCTTAACTAAGGTTTAGCTGCGCTCGGTAGGAGGAGACGATCAAGATGTAAATTCAAATAGATGAAGTGTATTGTTATAATATTGATTTTTGCATGTGACATTTGCTTCAGTTTCTAAATGGCTAATGTCCTCTCATGACTGACCCACCTTTCTCTGATTCTCACCTCCAACAGAGCCAGCAGGGGCGTTGTTTGAAATGTATCATATATTCGTATTAAAGATAATGATAACTATAACAAAACATAATAAAATTAGGTAAATATATAAATATATATAATACAATATATTATAAAAATATAGTACTATTGATGATACAAGTCACGCATTCACATATACACGAATACACCAAACTGTGGTAAATACGTGTAACGTACAGATGTGTTACAAATACTAACATTGTGCTGACTGCATGCCCGCAGCAAATGGAATAAATTTTTTCAAAGAAAGAGAGCCGTAATGATATGCTCGTCGCATATCGAGAATAATATTATTGAATAATAAGGTTCAATTCATTGAAACAAAAAACGTAAAAAATATATGTTGTTTTTTAAATAAAAAAATAAATAAAAAAATAAAAGATGCGAGGGGCAAGTATACAATAAAAAAATTTAATTGTACCAAAATATTCATTGCTTATAAATATAATAAATAATAGAGATACAATGCATAAGATTTAATCGGAGCTGTGCTCCCACAGGCCACCGCAAAGACGTGGGATCGTTTTTAAAGTTTCTTACCATTGCATAATAATAATAAACAATAGTAGCTCTTAATAAATAGATGGTTAACAAATGAGTGACAGCTTGCTCATATTTTCATGAAGTAGCTGAGAAACATCTAACATATTTGTTATGTTTTACTTTTCCATTCTTTTTATGTCAAATATGTTTTACCTCATCTCATAGCATACTTTGTTTACATTGTACACTGTTTATCTCCACTTCATGAAAATTAGTTCAAAAATAAATTGAAGTATATAATTATTGTAAATGCTGTAATGTGACTCGAGGAAAACAATACGGATAAATTCATAAGAGTTCTATACGCATAAATAGACACTTTATTAAATGAATGTCTAATTTATTTCAACTCTCTAATTTTTTTAAGCGTTGCTTAATCAAACATCAGTGACACCATAGATTATTAAAAATTTATCGTGGCCTATCATTTTTTCTTTTTCTTTTTTTTCTTCCTTGGACTTGCAAGTATTCATCTATTTTTTTTTTTTTTTTTTTTTTTTTTTAAC